ACATTATTAATGTTCTTGGATTGCTCCAGGAGCAAGTGTGGCTTTCCAGGGAGTGACGGGGTTTTTCCCTTGGCTGGCACGCAGCTGCAGTGAATTCCTCACAGCCCAAGGAAAGCAGCATCCCATTCCTTTTAGGCTCCGGGTGTAGAAGAGTGTCTACAGCACAGAGCAGTACTCACCTTGTTTTCCACCAGTCTTTGAGAGGTGAGCCCCATGCCTTCTTGCATCAATGCACAACCAGCAGTGCTCTGGAGGAGCCTGCATCCCACGGAGCCTCTCCGAGGGTCGGGCCCTAATGAGGGCTCATCTCACCCGTGTGGCAAAGGGCATCTCCCAGGCTGCTCCCAGGCACACAGCAAAGTGGGATAGCCCTGGGAGGGGGCATCGTTGCAGCCCTGCCTGAACACCACCCAGCAGCTGAGGCCAGAGACCAGGTCAGAGCCACAGCACAGCTTCTGAATTTGGGTGCCCTGGGCTGCTCAAGTAGGGGTGCAAGGGTGGGGGTCAATTCATGCCCCTGGCTGTCCTAAGTGTCCTAACACACAGCAGCTCTGTGCACCAGGAGCATTTATGCTCCTGCAAAGTGTGGAAAAGCAATGCACACCACCTAATGCTGGAAAGCCGGGGGATATGATAGATAGATTCTCTTTTCCAGGCTCTGGTGCTGGAAAAAGACACCAAGTCCTCACAGGAGAGGAAACTGGCTTGTGACTGGTTCAGCCCCTGCCTGACTGCTCCAGCAAATGTCCCTCCTGAGGACCCCCAGGTCTCTGGGCAGGGGTACAGGATGCCAAAGCCCTTCCAGCTGCCAGACCCTGTCACCCTGGCCCTCCAGCTCTGCAGGGCTGGGGCTGACTTTTTGTGACCCCTTCTCCCCGTGCTGACTCAGCCGTGCCCCCGTGATGGGTGGCCACAGCCCCGGGTGGGACGGCATGAAGGTAAAGGCAGTATGGACTGGCAAGCTTTCAAAGAGGCCACAAGCTAAATAAATAGCCAGCAGCCTATTTCAGTGGCTGCTATATTTAGCTCAAGGAACATTTATTTATAGGCTTGGCAGCCTTTCTGAGTCAATAAAAGCCAGAGAGCTGGAAAAAGGACGTTCCTGGGTTTCTCGTTGCAGTAATGGTTTCTGCCGTGCAAGCCACGAGGAACAAGAGGAGAGGGGAGGAAACTGTGCTGGCTGCACACCCATGGGTGCCTCTGCCAGGGGACAGAGACTCTACACACTTATAGCCCCAGCCCCAGCTAAGAGCAGCTTCACCTGGGTTTCCTCCCACCTGGGTGCAGCTGCCAGTCCCCTTTCTCTCTGAAACATGAGAGGATTTAATTGTGCCTGTGGAGATAGTGACACAAGATGTCAACTCTGGGGACTCCACTGCAGCACTACTCTTCCCCTGGGTAGTGAGTTTGGAAAAACTAAGCCAGGGGCAGGTAAATTGGGAGGGAGATGGGAGCAGTGTTCATGGTTCTCTATTAAATAATTGTCCCTTCCCATGTCACACATGGCAGCAAGTGGTTGAGAGAGGAGGACAAACAGCCTCTCTGGAGCTGCTAGTGGTGTCAGATGCACAGGAGGCCAAAGCTTCACACTGAGCTTCCACCCCAACAGCAGGTGATGGCAGTAGTTTTGTGAAGCTTTACAAAACACCCAGCAATTGCAGCTGGATAAGGGGAATGAATTTATAAAAGACACAGGGGTTTAGCCCAGCCTGTGGAAAGCAGCTGTGAGGATGGATGTCCCTTCTGCACACACGTCAATAAGTGCTGAGGCTTTCTGGAGCCAGAACTGCAGGGAGCCTGCTCACGCCTTCTCCTCCCTCCAAAGAAAACCTGCTGCAGGGGGGAGCAGGGAAATGCATCCATCAGCTTCCACTTGAGCACAGTCCAGTCAAAATGGGGCTGCTGCTTGGCTCCTGCCAGCTGCCCCCTGAGCACAGCATGGCTCAGTTGGCCATGGGTGAGCAGGGAATGTTTATAGGCTTTTGCTGTAGTGCACAGAAAGCGTGTGGCTACATGTTGCTATTATGTCAGGAGCCAGGTGGGAGCAGAGCTGAGCTGGGAAGAAAAATAATAATAATAATAAAACCAACAATAGTATATTTCCATGCAAACACTCCATGTCTTTGTGCTCTTTAGCATGGCAATCTGTATCATTACCTACGTGTGTGTTCCCATCTAGAGCAGGACTGGGACAATCCTTTCCATTAGAAAGGGGATGCTTAGGCACCTGACTACAGCTTCAGAGCCCCTAGAGTGGCAGTTTGCAGTCTGAGTGCCCATGAATGCCCCAATTAATTTTTATGCCACTACTCTCTCAGCCATGAGCCTTATTTCTGCTTTGAATTAGTCCAGCTGCAGCTTTCAGCTGCTGGGCCCTATATGTAGACACGGGTCTGGCTGTGCATCCAGGTTTGTCTGTGTCCAGGTCTGCCTCTACGTCCAGCTCTAGGCCCCATCACTGCAACCAAAGGTCCACTGCCCTCCCCAAACTCCCAAAGAGCCCCATCCTGAGAAGGTCTGACCCTCAAAAACCAAGGCTGACACCAGCTGTTAAAACACCTATTCGGGTATTTATTACAACACGTTGTTCCAGAATACAAAAGAAAGGAAAAGAAAGTAGAGGGTAGAAAAGCACTGCTGTTTACAGCCTCTGGTAAGAAATAAATAAAGACGAGGCAGGGGCAGGGTGTCTCCCCGGGTCCGACGCCGGTGCTGGCCAAATGGACAGCGAGGAAGGGAGTGTGGTGGGGCTGGAGGCCAGACCCTCTCTTCCACGCTTGGGAGTCCCCAGGTACACCAGGGTGGGTACAGACCCCCTCTCTGTGTTGTGCTTGCTGAGGAAGGGTCTGATCCTACAGGGATGAGGAAGGGAGAAGAGGGTCAGTCCCGGCATGGTCAGAACCTGCCTGCTCCCTCCCTGTCCACGGCTGCTCCAAAGGCAGGTGAGGTAGGAAGGGTGATGCTGGACCGGGACCCCAACAGACATCTACCAGGGTTCCCCAAGAGAGGGGTGAGACCTGAGCTCTCTCCTCTCCAGTGTGGTCTCAGAGCAACCTTGGAAATGTGTTCAGCACAGCATGATGAGCAGGACCCCGACCCATGACAAAGCGAAGTCATGACAGAGACAAGAAACTGTGCCTGGGCCACTTGGAGAAGGGCAGTTAAACCCTGCAAATTAAAATGACTCTTCATGGGGCTGGCGCAGTACAGGGAGTGTTTTGTACCACAGTGCAGATGGGGGTCCTCTTCCCTTCCCCTAATGTCTCCTCCTACACCTTACAGTCATCTGGAAAGCTCCAGGTTGTACCAGGAGCACAGGCAATGGGTGCAAAAAACCAGCACCAGCCTCTCATGACCTGCTCATGACACCACAATGATCAGTGTTGGATAAAGACCACACCAAGTCCCATGCTGGGAGCTATTCCCAGCCTGTCTAAATCCCTCCAGGTACCGGAGGCTCTCACGTGTCTCCCTGTGGCTCTGCCACTGGGCTTGCTCTAGCACTGTCCATGTTTCTTCCCCAGGCTGTACTTCTCCTGGGCAGGGGAACCACCAGCACGCCTCTCACGTGTCTCCCTGTGGCTCTGCCACTGGGCTTGCTCTAGCACATGTTTCTTCCCCAGGCTGTGCTTCTCCTGGGCAGGGGAACCACCAGCATGAGGAGGACACTCAAGCCCAGGAAGCCCAGGGCATGTGGCTAAAGCAGCAGCCACTGTCCCGGGCTCAGCTGAGCAGGGCAGCTTTGCAAAGCAGCTGCGATGCCAGAGCAAGAAGCCCCTGTGGGTGAAGATGCAGCCTGCAGCTGCAGCCAGCTGAAGAAGGTGAGGACCATCGCCTGGAGGGAGCTGATTCCATGAACTAGATGCCTGGCCAATGCTCCTTAAAGCTTTAAACTTTTGCTATTTAATCCTCTGATGTTGGTGCCAGTGGGTTCCTGCCTCTTGCAAAGATGAGCAGGAACCTGCACTGGGGAGAGGAGCTGCAGGAAGGGAAGGGAAGAGTTAGGAGAATGGATCTGCCCCGGGTCTGGGTGCCTTTATATCCTTAGGAAGCACCTCCCTCCAGCTCCTCTGACGAGGGTTTGCCTCCTGAGGCTTGGGGCAGCCAGGAGCTGTGCCGAGTCAGCCACAGCCGGGCTGCGGGGAGCAGAGAGAAGGTGAGATGGGGCCTTGCTTTTATTCACAACAGAGAAACAAAGAGCAACATACAAAGAGTAAGAAGCAAAAAAGTACAGAATCATAACCATAATAATTATAATAATAATAATCATAAATACTCAAATCTATCATTCATAGATTGCAATGACAACACTGATAGCTTATTATCATTAGTATTAAGAATGGGAGGGGAAAGGGGACAGCAGGAGGGGTTTCTGAGGGGCATTGTCTCCTAAGGAGCAGATGTAACGGGGATGGACATCCAAAAAAACAAGCAGACAAAGAGAAGGGCTGGGAAAGCAGCAGGGGCTGGGGATGCTGCTGCTGAGGCCAGGGACGAGCCTGCTCTGACCCAAGCCTCTGGCTCAGTGTTGCCAATCTGATCACTGCCCTCCTGCCAGCTTTGCTCAGCTGGGACAGAGGTGGCCGGGAGGCTCAGCCCTGAGGACAGGCAGAGGCTGGAGGGAAAGGAGCAAAATGTCCTTCCTAGTTTGAAGGAGAGCTGTGATTTGCTCAGTGGAAAGTGCAGGCATTGCCACTGCCATCGGACACTCAGCAGCTTTGTTGGTTCCTCCCTTGAAAGAAGAGACCTTTCCTCTCCTCTGCTCACCCTTCTGCCTCTGTAGGTCCTTACAAATGAATGCACCCTCATCAGACTGGCTTGGAAAGGTGATTTTTTGTTCCAGTGAGGCTTTGGGAAGGGTCAGCTGGCTGTGAGAGCCCACAAAAAAAAACTTGGCTGACAGATGATGTGGAGGATTACCACCCGACACATCCTTCCTCATGACAATTCACAGCTCTCTGACTCATGGACAAAGTGGTTAATTAGACAGAGTTTGATTAAAAAAAAAAAAAATTAAGTTAATTGCAAGCCACTTGGTGACCCTGATGGCTTTGGGTCAGGATGGGCAGGAAACACTTGGGCAGGGCTGCTCCATCAAGGCTTATTTTCTGGATATAGACTTAAAATATTGTATATATGAGGGTTTCTGATGCACATGCCCAATGATGGATGAATGCAAAGGCTGTAGAGGTGGGTCAGGAATATCTATGATCTACAAATCTTAAAAATCTTAAAATATACTTATCTTTGTTCTGGTTTCAGAGAAGAGAGGAGTCCACAGTGTGTAAAACCTCAAACAAGTCTCAGAAGCGTCCAGGCGGTGGCAGAGTGTAGAAGACAAAAAGCCAACCACTGCCTCTTCGCAGACATTCAGGATCTCATTTACAACATGCATCCTCTCCTTCCTGACTTCAGGTCAGCAGCTCCACCTGCTTTTTTGTGCTTGCAACACACTGTGTCACTTAACAGGAGGAATTAGATGGGAGCTTGCTAGTGCTTTGTCTCATCTCCCCACCTGGTTTTGGCCACCTGTTGTCCTTTCTGTTACATCCCTTGGGAAGCCATTTAAGCCTCTCTCCATTGCTCAAAGCTACACCAGCTCCTGCCAGCACCTTGCCTGACCTGAGCTCAGTAAGTCCACGCTGGCACCAACCCCAGAGGACTATGGGATGGGCAGGGACCGAGTGCTACGGGGCAGAGATCAGCAGACAATCACCACTGGCATGCTTGGGAAGAGATGCCACCACTGAGGCCAGCAGAAGGGGAAGGAGGACCAGACTCCTTGGACAGGAGGCAGGTGACATTAACATTATGCCCAGTGAGGAGGCACCAGAGGAAGGATGAAGCCTTTTTCTTCTCCCTCCTTGGACTTGACATTGATGCCTACTTAGGACGGCCTGCTGCAAGTGGAGCTCCTGAAATAGCTGCCTGGCTCATGGGGTGGACCTAAATGCCTTCTGGAGTCTAGAAAGGGAGCTTAGCAAATAGTGTCATCACTGCTTCATGGTGAGAAGAGAGCAATGTTCAGGTTGGCAACACTGAGCAGGTTTGAGGTGGTTGCTGGAGGCAATGATGGGTGGTGGTAGGCTTTTCAGGACTGACTATGAGATCTCTCACTCATCAAATGTGATGTGGGGAGAAGAGCAGGTGGTCCCTGGCTCTCCATCCACCCCCATCCCTCCCTGCCACACCAGGAGCATGTGAGGGTCCCCAGCATCTCACCAAATAGCTCCATGGAAAACCAGAAAAACTAAAGCCAGAAGAGAGCAAGGAGTCTCCAGGGAGACTTGCCCCAGCTGCAAACACAGAGGTGGCTGAGGAAGCAACGAGCTGAAGCAAGCAGCCCCTCCTCGTGTGATTGCAGCTCCTCACGCCTCTGCTTTATGTTCAGTTTTAAACCTGAGATCATTTGGTTTTGTCACGGGTAGTTTGATTTAAAGATAGAAACGAATGACAAGAGGAGGAACAAGGGAAAGGGAGAGAAACCATGTGGACCCAGAAAAGAAAAAAAGAAACAACACTCCAAGGATGACACAGGACACAGACATGCACGAACACAGACCCCTGAGGTATCAGCTTTGCAAACTAGTGCGAGACAAGGGAGAAAGCAGAGAGCTGCAGGGAGAGATGTGCTTTGCAGGGGAGGCAGCTCAGTGCCTCCAGCTTCAGAAAGCAGCTTCTCAGCAATCCTGACATTGGGGTTTGGGGGCAAGAGCTTGGCTTCCCACCAGATGGGAGGAAGCAGCCAACCATCTCCAAAAATAAGTCACTTGTGCCCCTCCATGTGCTTGCAGAGCTTCATGTCTGGACAGCTTATCATCCCCTGGATGGAGGGGAGCTGGCCTGGAGGGCAACAGAACCGGGAGAGTCCCGGCACCTGCAAACGCGCTCTGCCTGAGCTTCTTGGATGTGAAACAAAGGATGTGGGAAGCCAGAACCGCCGCCCCCAAAGGAAGAGTGGTGCCCATACTTCCCAAGCAAGGTAGCTGAGATGAGGGGGAGCTGAAGCGCTGGGGCAGGCAGGCAAGACACCTCCCAACAAGAAATCCCAGCTACCACCAGTCTCGCATCCCTCCCTCTGCTGAGGCAGCTTCCGACACCTTCCCCATGCAGCTGGAGGTGACATCCCACCGCCTTCCATCCACTTTAGGTGACTCCCACCTTTCCCCCTCCGGCAAGGATGGGCAGCCAAAAGGAGGGAAGAGGAGGAGAGGGAGTATGAGTAGGATTGGACGATGGCCAGGATGGGGACAATGCCTAGGATGGGATGATGGCTGGGATGGTGGTAATGGCTGGGATGGAGATGAGGAGAAACAAACAGAGACCAAGGTGGGAAGAAGAGGCAGCAGCTTCTAGAAGAGTTTTCTGGCTCAGTTTGTGTCATAAGAAGGTTTTATGGTTTGCTTGTTTACTTGTTCATTTCTAGAAAAAGTGCCCAGAAGAGTCTCCTGTCCCCTTGTTGATATGCCCAGAGAGAAGGGGGAAATCTATGTTGTGGACATTAACTATAGAAGGAGCCACAGGCCTCAGGTATTGCTTAGAAACTCGTATTTCAGATTTAAATACCATACACAGTAAAAATAGAGCTGAAAGTACCGCCCCACATTGTCTGCAAATCATTGCCAGAATGAACAGCTTCAATAAATTAAAAACAAAACAAAAAAATTGAAATATTATTTACGTCTCAATAAAAATTGCAGTAAAACCATTTACCTTTTCTTTCGTGTGTGTGTTTTCGGGTTTTTTTTCTTTATATTATATATAATATATATTTATATATGTATAGGGCTGCTCCAGTGCAGCATTTTTAGGATACTTAGCCAGAGAAACACAGCGGAGCATGCTTAGTGCACCAGGGTGCAGGGAAGGGGCAGCTGTGGTCCCCCCTCCAGGTGCTGTGCCCCATCACCACAGCCAAAATTGCAATCCCTGCCACTTCCCCAACTCTTCCCGCTTGAGTTTTAGGCCCAAATTTTGAGTGTGGGTCTCTGAGGGCTGGGGCGCCCTGGGGATGGGCGGGGAAGGACCAGGGTGAGTGCAGGAGGGACACTAAGCATCCGCCACTATGTTTCCCGACTCTGGAAAGACTCGTCCACCTTCGCTTCGGTTTCAGCGCTTGCGCTCCCGAAAATGCACGCGCAAGTATAAATACACCCCCCGACCCCGCCGCCCCCCCAGGTCTCCAGGCACCCCAGGTGAGTGTCAGGACACCTCGATGATCTCCATGCTGCCCGAAAAGCTGGACTGTTTGCTGATTTTGCCCAGCTCTTCCCGAGCCCTGCCCTCGGACATGGTCTCCTCGAATTCCATCTGGCAGCTCCTTCGCTTGAACTGCTTCTCAGCACCGGCCTCCTCATGCCAGCTGTGCCGCCCGTCCCGCGGCTCGGCCCGCGCCTTGTCCCTCAGTCTGATCTCGCACCCGGCCGCCGCCGCGCCGCAGCCGAACGGCGGCGGGTACGGGCCGGCGCTGGGAAACAGGCCCCCGCCGCTGCCGCCAGAGCTGCCGGAGTCCTTGCCGAAGAACCAGCCAGCCTCGCCCGAGGCAGAGCCGGGGGACTCCAGGTGCACGCCGCTCCAGGCAGCGGTGGCGGCGGCGGGCGCGGAGGGCGGCGGGCCGAGCCGTGGCGGCAGGCCGTCCTCGGCGCCGGGGCTCTTGCGCGCGGCGCAGCTCCCGCCGGCGCTGAGGCTGAGCCCGTGGGCCGGCGAGCCCGCTGCGTGCCGGTGCTTCCGCCGCTGCCTCACCTTGGCCTCCAGCAGCAGCTCGGGCCCCGCGGGCCGGTCAGGGCTGTCCGCCCCTGGGGAGAAGGGGCTGAGGCTGCCCGAGCCCGAGGGGCTGTCCAGCTTGCAGAGTTTGGGGGCTTCCCCAGGTCCGGGGGGCCCAGGGGGGTCCTGCCGCAGGCCGGGGGAGTAGGCAGACTTGATGTCCAGGGAGAAGGAGCGCTTCAGGCGGTTGGTGTCCTGGATGCGCTCGGAGGAGAGGTGCAGGCCGTTGAGCCCCTGCTGCAGGGTGGTGGGTGACAGGACCTTTGGGGTCCCGCCCTGCCGCTCGGGGTCACTGGTGGGGGACGCCGAGCCGCTGCTCCTCGGCACATCCTCGGCCTTCTCTGAGGTAGGTGTCAGGGGATGCCGGCTGCTCTCAGCCACCTCTGCTGGGTCCGGCTGCGCGTCCCCCTCGCTCCAGTCGCCCTTTGACTTCAGGGCCTTGAGGAGCTTCAGGCTCCTCTCGTACTCCAGGAGCTGGCCCAGGAAGTTGAAGTTGGGCGAGATGGATGGGCGACGGTCCTTAACAAACCTGCGAGAGGCACAGACAGCCCCGTTGGTGCTTGGTCCTTCAGTGGGCCACCCCTACTCTCTCAGCCTCTTTAGGGAGAAGAGGCATCATCCAGAACCTGCTGACCAGACCCTCCAAAGAAAAGGATCTTGGGGAACCATGGGGCCTTGAGATGCCTGAGGATTAGAGGTGGGACTGCCTCCCCCACTCCCTTTTACCACTCCCAACCATTCCTTGTTGCATGCATTTTATGATGGAAGGTTTGGTTTGGTTTGATTTTACTGGGACCCAGCCAAGGCAAGAGAGAGCTTCGAGGAGCCCTGACCCTCTCCTTCTGGGCTTAGCCTGCTTCCCTTCCCTGGACTGAAGCATACTGGCATAACCCCCCGGTACCCTCAGGGGAAAACTCACCTGTAAGCATCATCTGATGACATACCCATGGTCTTCATGATGTAGGCGATGGCAATGGTGGCTGACCGGGAGATCCCAGCCAAGCAGTGCACAATCACCTGGCAGCTGGACACCTTCGCTTTGTCTGGAGCATGGCAGAAGAAACAGAGACAACAATGATGGTGAGCAAAATGGTTCCAGCCTCCCTCCCCAAACCCCAGCCCGTTGTGTGAGAGGACAACAGTTGTGAGCAAGACCACGGAGGATAGAAGAGTTCAGGTTGTGAAGGCTGAGGATTGGAGAGTCTGCAACCATAAGAAAAGCTCACCAATGAACTCAATGGACTTGTCCAGCCAGGGAAGCAGCTTCTCACAGTAGTTGTCATTGACAGGAATGCGCATGAAGTGACTATCACAGATGAAGTCTGGCTTGGGACAGGAGTTGCTGGCATTTAGGACATAGCTTATCCCATTCTGTGTCATCAGGTCCTGTTGGGAAAGAAGCCATCAAATGATCAGCTGAATTCAGCCCACACCACATATCGAAGGTCTCTTGCCATGTACACTCCCTGCCTTTTCCCATCCCTGCATTTTCTCCTGTGGGTCTCCTAGTGCTGCCTTGGCCCAGTTGATAATATGATGATAATACAGCAGAGACCAGCTGAAAAGGTCGTGTCAATTTAGATGACACAGGTTTGAACCTCAGCAGATCTTTATTTTGGTTCAAGTAAAATGGGCAAGGCCAAAGACACCTGGAAAGGGGTTCCAGAGGGAAAAACCCAGCAAGCCCAGTATGAAAGGAATAGGACAATACAAGAAAGAAAATTAGCAAAAACTCTGTCTGAACGCTGTGAAAGTATCAGCTGAGGGAGAAAGGAGACATCTCACCAACAGGGTGGAGTGAGTCACTGGCAGCACCCTACGTTAACCAATGTGGCCAGAAGAAGCTCTATCCATAGGCAGCAGTAAGGCCTTGCGTGGGCAGTGCTTCTCTTCTCCAGCACGTGGCCACATTGTGGGGATGGCAGAAAACACAGTTCCAAAATGTGAACAAAACCCTCCAAGGAAGTGGGGAGGGAAGAAAACCATCTATTTCCCTGCCTGGCATTGGTTCCTCAGGATTTTGGCTGCAGGATTTCAGCCCTGGGTCTCCAGTGGCCTGTTCCTGCCCTTCCAGCAGGCTTGATGGAGCCAGTCCAGCTCACAGGCTCACATTCTTGTCATTTTTTTCTTTAATTTCCTTCTACTCCCTATACATAATCTCTCTCTCCTCCTTTCTGTCTCCAGCTCCAGTCTGGTGTCATGGTCCGTCTGTCTCCTGGCCTGCCATGGATGAGGATGCCTGGCTGGCTCCCTCATGGCTGCAGTAGGCAGATACTTGGCAGCGCTTTAACTGCAATTCCTCTTTCTTTCTTTCTTCTCATCATTACTTTTCCTTGAAACAAAATTCCTTCCCTGGTGTGACATCACAGAACAGCCTTTCTGGCACCTTTTAAAGGGCATTGTGCAGTCTTCCCACTGGGAAGGAGAGAAATCCTTAATACCTTCACCTCTCTGCATGACTGGGGTCCCCAATGGGACAGGGCAGACGTGTCCCCTCAAGAGGGCTGTACCTTGTTCAGGACATCCTTCTGGGAGCCCAGGTAGAGATGTGGCAGGATGCGCGTGGGGCCAACGTTGGCCACAGGCAGGCATGGCTGGGAGATGCTCATCGGCAGGATGGCAGCTGGCTTCCCCTCACAGAGCCCTGGGAAGCAGGATGAGAAGGTGGCAAAGCCTCCTGTGGAGAAAATGGGGACATTGAGCTTGGAGCAGCACGGCCGAGGTCATCAGTAGCTGGGCACAAAGTGGTGATAACTCTGCAGCCCTGAGAACAGAGCCTCCAGGAGCAACAAGGCACCACCAACCAGTGCACATACATTGTGATGGCCGTGACACACACAGAGAAAGGAATGGAGAACCAGCTCTGACTTTTCCCTGTCACAGCTGGATATTAATGCACGTGTGAGGCATCCCACACCCTCGCCAACGAAGCTGGCTCTTCTCAACTTCATTCAGACAAATAACAGGAACAGTCCTTTTCTTGGCTCCCTACTATTCTGAGGAGAGGGTCACCTTTTGATACCAAAATCCATCAGGACAGGATGACGACAAGCCAACTCCCCGAGATGCAAAGCTCCTGTGGTCTGGGAGGTCAGCCCAAACCTTGCTGCATTGGCTACACTTACACATCATGATTTCAGAGAAACACCTCCTCTGCCCAGCCCTGCCAAGCCCATGATTTCTGCCACACCATGGTGGCATAATAGTACTGGCAGGCCACTGCTGTTTTTCATGCTCTGACCTTGCTGAATGTGACAGCAAGCAGTGTCCAGTTTACTGCACCAAGCTGCTGGGCAGTCACACTCAGCTTGAGCATCTTCAAGTCCAGTGTTGAAAGAAAACCCCCAGCCAAGGTTGTAGTAGCTGGCATGTGACAGCCAGAGGTATTGTCACAGTGTCTGGCATGGTCAAAAGCCTGAGAGCCACTCCTGAAAGCTTGAGCAGGGCTGCAAGTCTTGCCCTGCTTGCACAGAGGGCAGCAAGGAGAGCTGGAAAACCCCGGGTGCTGTTGCATGTCCTGCACAGTTGCATAAGACCACTGATCCTGATTTGCTCTCACTTGCTGATCCGGTACTCCAGGGTAGAGCCAGGTCTGGCTAGCAATGGCCTAATTCCACTCCCCTCCAGCTGAGGACATCTGGGTGGCAGCTTCATGCAATGGAGAGGAGCTTGAGTCATATCTGCCTCAAGTCTCCCTTAAGGTTTTCCCAGTTATGTGAATGAGCAGATGCAGCTTGACATCACCCAAAGGGCAGAGAGGACTTGGGGGCTTGACTGCCTCTGACTGTCAAAGGGACCAGCATGCTCCCATGAGATCCTTTTGAAAGCCCAAGTCTCTGGACTGAGCATCCTGAGAATCCCTGGCCCATCTCCACAGCTAAACAAGACCTTTTAACGAGCCAGTCCCTCTCCCCTTTGGAAGCAGGGCAGCCTTGGCATACTCTCAATTTACCTTCTCCAGCATTTTGGCAACATTTCTGGCTCCTGGTGTGGCACCCACGCTCTAGAAGGGCATGACTGGTGCTGCAGACAAGCCATCTGACATGTTTGTGAGATGAAGGTGATGGAGAAGTCAAAGCAGTGCACAAAATCATGCTCACACTACTTGGGAACATCCAAGGTCCTCCATCACACTGCATCTCAGCACCTCCTGGTGTCAGCTCTCACTGGCCTAAGGAGAAGGTGTCCTTCAACAAACCTCTTTCCTCCCCTCTGTTTTCTTGTCTGGCAGCTAACACACCTCCCAGCTTTAAAACCCAGTCAAGACAGGAGGGATAGAGTTAAAGCACCTTATCTTTTCCAGCACTTCCTTTTCTCTTGCTCCCTCTGAAATGACATCAGCCCTCAACTGGGACATTAAATCAGAGCAAAAGCAGGAGGCCCAGCACAGGTGCAGCATAGCTCTGGTTACTGCTCATGCCTGCACTGTGGCCCCGTTGCCAAGGACTGTCCATCACTAGCCAGAGCTCTTCATGGACACATGCGACCTCCCTGCTTTGCCCCGTGCTGATGCCTGGGGGATGCTGGGGCAGAAACCCTTGGGAAGTGTGTCCTTCACTTGCCCCTAGAGAAGCCTGCAGCACCTGGGTTTGAGTGGGGCACAGATCTGACCCCAAGCTTGTGTGAAACAACATGGGAATTTTTCTGAAGGAACACAGCATGTTTTTGGGGAGCAGGGTGCACACAAATGCAGCCCCAAGGATCAGTGCCTGCTCTGGTCCATAGGTGTCCAGCCTCTTGTACTCACATCCACCAGGAGCTGCCCAGGGCAGTGGATGGGATTGTATGGCTCTTTAAGATGATCTCATAGTTCAAGCAGGTCAGGACATGCTGCTCTCTGCCCATTGCCTGTGCCCACCACACTCAGCTGGAAGCAGACCCTCTGCCAGCCCTGCTTGGGGAACTCCAGGCAGGAGCTAAGGGGGTTGTGAGGCAGGCAGGGATGTTTGGAAGGTGGCAGCAGCACCCTCAGCTGCAGAGGGCAGGCTGCCTCAACTGGAGGATGCTGACACTTGACATGATGCCCATAGCTCACCTCACTTGTCCTAAGCAAAGCCTCAACCCTGTGTCCAGGAGTCCAGGCATGCTCCAGGCCCCTGTCCTCATCTCCCCCATACTTGCAGCTGCTGAGGGCAGTCTGGGCTTGGGGGAAACCTTAGAGATGGGGCCAGGTACTTGACACCATCCCAACATGGAAGCGACGCTCACCCCACCCTGCAGCGGCTGCTCCAGCATGCCTTTCATTTTTAGAAAGTGAAGCAGCTCTTCAAACAATCCCAAAGGCAGTGAATGTCCCTGGCTGGCCTCCAACTGATACTTGGGCTTTCCTCCCCTCTATGCCCCAGGCCATGGATCCCAGGTTTTGCTGGGAGAGAGCAGCAGAGCACAATGAGGTGAGGAGCCAGGGTAGCACCAGTTCCAGCCTTTCCTCTTTTATTCACAATGCTCATGCCAGGAGCACCATTTCTCTTGGCATGTGTGGAATTAAGCTCAGGAAGGATTTGCATCTGCCATGGAGTGGGTGTCAAGGGATCTCTGGTTTCTTCTGGATGCTCCCCTACCCTGCTGAGGGCTTGTTGAGAAGGAGCTGGTCCTTGTGTGGCGTGGCCCAGTGAGCTGCTCATTGTTCCAGCGCCATGGAGTGGGTGTCAAGGGATCTCTGGTTTCTTCTGGATGCTCCCCTAGCCTGGTGAGGGCTTGTTGGGGAGGAGCTGGTCCTTGTGTGGCATGGCCCAGTTAAGCTGCTCATTGTTCCAGCATGGAGGGTTCTTAAAACCCTCCTCTGGAAAAAACACTGTCTGCCTGCCTACTGCAGTTACCTGAGGCAGAGATAGTGCCCAGGAAGAGAAGTGGGAACTGGAAGGGAAGGGAACCAGAACAAAAATGGGGATGCTTTCACTGCTGCTGCTGAAAATGGAGGAAAGAGGAGCCAAGAACCAGCATCAGGCAGGTTCTAGGAGGCCTAGGAAGTGAAAATCACCCTCCTGCAAGTGAAAATCACACTGAGGCACAGGGTGTTGCAGCAACTTAGTTCCAGAAAAGTGCAACAACAGAGACCTTGTATCTCCCTCACCCAAGGTTTCACTCACAGGGTGCTGAGCACCCTTCCACCTCCTGCTGTGTCCTGCAGAGACCCCTCTGGGCCAGCCCCCCAGCCCTGCTATGCATGGCCCTTCTGTCAAACAGAGGAGAGGGGAAAACACCACAACTTCTCCCCTGTGCCCATCTTTGCCAGGGTCTCCCCTCTGTGTATTTTCCAGATGAACATCTATGATAACCACCCAGTGAAATTGGATTTATTGTGAGAACAGGCGCTGCAGAGGGAAGGCAAACAGCCTGGGAATCTCCCCGAGACTGTCGGTCAGGCAGGGGGAAGATGCCAGCAGCATCTTTGAGCAGGCTTCTGTGGTACCTGCACTGCTGCAAATGTTGGGAGCCGTGTGACTCCTCCTCTCCAGCAGCAAACTGCACAGGGAGGAGGCCCTCTGCCAGGCCCTGCACCAGAGCCTGCCTGCCCTGAGACAGCTGCAACCAAAAGGAACAAAAACACACATGGAAGGAGATTGCAGGATGTAAGAACAGAGATGTTGCACTCCTGAGCTGGGACCCTCACACAGCTGGGGGACCCTCCACTGCCCTGGCTGACCCAGCTATGACTAGGATGTCCCCAAAAACCACCTGAAGGTGGTTTTTGGGGACATCCTAGTCATAGCTGGGTCACGGACAACATCGCAGGCAAAATCTGTCACCTGTGAGTTGCACTGTGCCCTTCTCTGCCAAGACTGGGCAGCAGTGGTGATGCAGAGAAGGTGACACAGAGGGTGACAAAGTCCTGACTAGGGACAGGGATGTGGTGTGGCATTATTTTCTTCTGGTGGTAAGCCTTAGCTTTAGGGATTTACAATCCATTAAGCTGCATGAGATGCTAACAGAGACACTGCTGAGGATAAAAAGGTGTGGGACACATGAAGCATGGATATCCCAGCTCCCTGTTGTTTCCTGTGTCCCTCCCTGCACTGAGGTCATCTTTTTAGGCTGGAGGTGTAAAGTGGAGCTGCAGCTTGAAAATCTTCTCACACCTTGCTCTGATGGCTGCACATTCATCTCCAGCCCTATGGACCCACCACCTCCTTCAGAGGCCTCTGAAAAAACCCAACAGCTCTGGCCTTGATGCTTTGCCCCACTGACTGCAAGAAGCTGTGAAAGGGCCACCCAGGGCACTTGCCTCACCCCAAAACTGCTCAAGAGAGCCACATGCCTCTTGAACAGCCCCATGAGTCTCATAGAATTTTCCTTAGAGACACACTGAGCAGCATGTCCTATTCAGCAGCCTCCCCTGGGCACTGCAGGCTCAAAGGTCCCCACCAAGAAACAGGGAAGAGGTGACATGTCACCCTGCTGTGCCATCAGTTTGTGGCAGCAGGGAGGAGGGGATCCAGAGCTGGAAATCCTCCCTGGGCCAGCAGCTGCCACGCCCCACTCCTCACCTCCAGCTCTCACAGCGGAAGCTAGAAGGAGACCTGCAGGGGTATTAAGGATGTGTTTTACAGCCCACCCTCACGGCTGCAATAATGAGAGCTGGAGAGCAGCAGCCGGAGCTGTTCAGAGACCGGCTCCCCAAGCAGCTGCCGGAGGTTTTGCGGCAGCCCGCAGCCTCACCAATGAGTTTTGCGCCTG